AATAAGGTAAAGAAAGCACTGTTTCCAAGTACTACTTTATGCAGCAAGAGAGAATCTTCAAAGGTACAAATAGCGTTGCCTTACCTTGGACCCCTATCTTTACGCATCTGCAGAATCTTTAAGCAGCACAACCTTGTACTACCTTTAACCCCATTTCCAAGCCTACGCAAACTTATTTGTAATGACAGAGACAAATTTTCCATTATTGAGAAATCGGGGGTCTATGCTGTACCTTTGGAAAATCAGGCAACGGGAGTAAACACAAGATATATCGGGGCCACCACTAGAATGCTTTCCAGCCGCCTTGATGAGCACCAAGACGATGTTAGGAGGGGAAGACACACCACCGAGCTCGCAAGGAAAGTACTTGAGCAGGGTTACAACCCGCTATGGTCCCAATCGGTTATGCTCAAGAGCTGCAAGGATCGAAAAACTGTTTTTATATGGGAATCTCTCCTCACTACCACCTTGGACACTTGCAACACCCATACGCTCGAGCTGCCTAGTGTATGGGTCACGCTGTATAAGCGTTTAAGCGAGTATTAGCAGTCTCTAGTATGCATCTAGCGTGAGCTTGGCTCTGCGCATGCGCCAGCTCGCAGTTCACGGAGCTGTCTGCTCGTTCGGTTTTCGAATTATGTTTAAATATTTACTTCGTGTTCTTAACGGCTTTAACATAATTTCAAATTATCTTATGCATTCTATTCTGCATTCGATTATTTTTGTTTAAAAGCTGTTTGGTAAATATCTGTATTTGCCTGAGGACGACGACAATAAGTTCGTTGAAAGTGCTAGCGATAAAAAAACGCATGTAACGCCGAACTCAGTGTATTTGTTTTTTGGAATTAACGAGAAAATAAATATTTTAAACTTTGATAAAATTAGTCAGAAAAACGAAGGTCAGAAACTTTCGATTTTAGAAAGGAAGTTGATTTCCTTTCCTATGTCTGACTCACGAGATGAGTCAAAAATGCAGCCTTTGCACACGTTACTTGGCTGTCAGAGAAGGCTGATATAAAAGGGACATTTTCCCACCATTCAGGGCAGTTCGTTGAAAGAGGTATTGCCACACGACTCCCAAAAAGTCATTGAAAGAATTAGCCATACGATATAGATGGAGAATGTCATTTGCGAAGAACGCCATTCAGAGAGTCTGTCATACAAGTCCGTCAATTGAAAGTCATACTACAGAGTTCTCCATATAATGTATAGAGTCTGTTATATGATGAGACAGTCATAAGAAGAGTTATCCATACAAGAAATTGCCATAAAATAAAAGAAGAAGAATGTCCATAAGTAAGAAGATCCTCATACATTGAAATATTGAAAGAACTGGGAAGGTAATATAGTAACATTCAGATCGATGTAAACTCTCTCTCATGCATTAGGTTTAATATAAGATTATTAGGTTTAATTCAGTTATTAGTGACTTAAGTTTAAATACAATTTGTTATCCATTCATTTGTATATCTGAATATTTTTGGTTTATTAAATGTTTTAGTTATTTTATAAATATGGCCTGGTTAATGTTAGATATTCACACTTCTGCCTATTCAAGTTACTTGCATTCCGCATACTCACAATTTAGTGATTACGCGTGTTAATCTGCGTTTAAGAAAACTGATTAACTGGTGTCGGGAATCCTGATAAGGAAAAGGGTGATTACACGATCATCTAATTCCGCCTTCGTTTTACTTCAAATTGTAAGTCCCTCCACACTCGATTTCTTTGATAGGAAAGCCATTCTTTTAGACAATCCGAGGGCTATTCAAACGGATAGCTGCCGAATAAGTGGTACAAGAGTCTTAACTACTCCATATCCCCGGCTAGCCCCTCACAGCATCCATGATGTTATATTTTTTCCAAAATTGTACAAAACAAACATAGATTTAAGGGAAGTACAATGCTACGACAAATTGCCACATTTTGCTGATTGGTTTGTGTTTGGGAATAATTGTATTATATACAAATCAATAAAATACTGCGTTAATTTGAATCAGTGTTAAGCAGGGTCTTGCTGTACATAAAAAAATCTATTTTAAAGAGTAAAAGAGAAAAAACAAATATTTTTAAGATCAAAAAATATATTTTGACTTTTGAATTTGTAAAAATTAAAAAAATATCTCCAAATGAAAAATGATTAGTCTACATTCATAACTACTGGCAAACACAACTTATTTCTTAGATCCTAGACATATAACTGAGAAACAAAATATTTCATATTAATTTTATAATTAAAACAAAATTTTTAGAAATTTCTAAATTATATACACACACAGCATATAAATTTCTGATTTTATCAGCAATACTTTAAATAATTAATTGATTACCAGTAATTATATTTATGCATACATGTATTTATTGTAAATAAATGATATTATTCTAACGTAAAATAAAAATTTAAATTCAGTATACAGTAGAGCATCAATTATCCGAATGGGGTTGTCCGGAAAATCAATTTTTCGGATAACCGATTATGTACGAAAAAATACATTATTAATATAGTATATTAATATATCCCAATAATAGTATATTAACACTTTAAGCACCATTTGTTGCATATTTGTAACACACCCAGACCAGACTATGCATTCAAATCTGTTGTGTTAGTTCAGAGCAATATGCTAGCCATATAAACATAATGGAAATAGTTAGAGCATGGCCTGTGGGAATGGAAATTGCATTTGGTCGAATATTTTTAATGATAGAATGCTATTAAAAATTTAATTTTTTTCCCTATAAAATATGAGAAATATAATAAAAATAAATTATTATTAAAGATTTGGTTTTTTCCAAAATTTATGTAAAATTTGTTTTTTTCTAATGCTTTCCTTGCACAATGAACATGAATAACTACAGCACAATATCATGAAAATATAAATCACAAAAACAAATATTTGAGAAATAATCTTTACTTTCTTTTAGTGAACAAAAAACCAGTAGTAAGTATATTATTTTAATGATTATTCTATATTTTTTAGATTTTTATTTGTCCATTTATGCAACCTAGAATTTATGCATTTATGTAAAAGTTCTGTTGAATTTAAAACCTGATGAGCAAAAAAGGATGGCCTAACACGATCAGAAAAAACTCATTCAGGTCACATGTTACAATTTCGCAATGTGCCTAAAAATCAAGAAAACAAAATGTTTTTTGACAATGAAGACAAAATTATATTAAATGGTCATAATTTTTGTACTACTTTGTCCATAAAAAAAGAGCATGGCCCAATGTGATATTTTATGCCTCTCTATCGTGGTATTTAATATGTTAATATCCAGTGTTTAAGATAATAAATATGTTAAACAAATTCAAACACTAATATAATTAATTATAAAAATTTATTAGGATTGAGAACATGTCTACAACTATTATTTTGCATAAACTATTTTTATTATATCTCCTACAGAAGATGACACTATAGTGACTATTAACTAGTTGACTATTAATAGAAACTCTGACTTTTATATGAAAGTCATAAAATTGGCTGCAGTACGAGGTCTGTTCAAAAAATACGCGGACTGTTTCAATTGCGTGGCTCCAGTTGGTTCCGGGGGAATCAACTTGGTGTCGCTAGGTTTGTACAGATCGTCTGGTGATAAAGCCATTTCCTGATTACAGATATCTTTATTTGTTGATTAGCTACATGGTTTTTAGTGAAGTGTAATTTTTTCATTTGTCGGATTTCAGAATGAATGACCTGATGGAACAACAAGCTGCTGTGAAATTTTGTGTTAAACTTGGAAAATCTGTGACTGAAACATTTGCTATGCTCAACCAGTGGGTGAGTGAAACGTCCCCAGACCCAAAAAAGCTTGCCAAGTTTGATCCAATGTCTAGGTGATGCTGACAGTTTTCTTTGATGCTAAGGGTGTTGTTCACCACGAGTACCTCCTCCAAGGCTCCACAGTGAACCAGACTTACTACGTTGAAGTTCTGAAATGTCTGAGGGACGCCATCTGTCGCAAAAGGCCAGAAATGTGGAGGAGTGGCGATTGGTTTCTCCATCATGACAATGCTCCAGCTCATTCATCCTTCAGAACTCGTGAGTTTTTGGCCAAACATTCGATCACTGCTCTTCTCCACCCCCTACTCACCTGACCTTGCTCCTTGTGACTTTTTCTTGTTCCCAAACTCAAAAGACCCTTGAAAGAAAGATTTGAGACAATTCCAGAGATTAAGGCAAATGCGATGAAGGCGCTGAAAGACATTACAAAAGTGTACCAGGATTGTTTCAACAAGTGGAAACACTGTTGGGATAAGTGTGTGTATTGCGAAGGAGAGTACTTTGAAGGGGACATGTAACTTCTATAAAAAGTACATTTTGTTTTATGACATCAGTCCATGTATTTTTTGAACAGACTTTGTATAGCTTTGTTCATTGAGGAAATAAAAATGGTTTTTTCCCCCAGAAACTATAGATTTTCATTGTTAAACATTATTTTGCCAGTCACTCTTACTCATATGTTACATACAATTTTTATCAGAAATATCTGGATTCTGCAGTTCTTTTGACAATTCTTTGGCAATCATCTTATTTTTAAAGAATTGTGGCCCCCATGATTGCCAGATTTGTCGTCCTCAGATTTTTTCCTCTGGAAGTACCTCAAAGGAACAGTGTACAAAAATAATCCACATACAATAGAGGAACTAAAAAGCAACCTTATAACAGCAATTGTCAGCATATTTCTACCTGTTTCAAAAGTTGGCATCAAATATTGTAAAAGGAGCTCACATTCATACTCATGAATGAGGAGGTAATTTCAAACATATGTAACAGCATGATTTGATTTTGCTTTTATTAAAAGTCAGATTATAAACTTTGTTTTTACTTCCTTCTGTATTTACATACATTACGTTCAGAAAATAAACTTGATTCCTAACATGTGTACATGACTTTTCAATCATCCTGTATATTGCTAAGTTCAAAGCATTCCTTAAAAACTATACTAAATTTTAAATAAAACAGAAAAAAAAAAAAATTCAAATATAAACTTACTTGATTTAATTTAGAACTAATTTCTGAAATGCAGCACTCTTAATTCCAAGATTTAAAAATTAACAGTTTCTCACTATATTAAACAAAATATTTACATAAGTACTTTTGTTCATTATTATTAAAGCTGAGTTAAAATTAACAAAATTATAGTACTGTATTTTCACGTGTATAACTTATATCATCATATAGCACGTGATAATATATTCAATAAAAATTGCTAGAACAAAAATAAAATCATTGCATAACCCATACACTCACTCTATACTCCCACGCTTACAGGAGCAGATCACTGCTCCACAGATGAATGTTTATAACTGCAATTTAAAATTGATCTATAACCCTACTTCCTATTTCAAATTATCTTTTAAACACAATTTAGGATAGGTTATACACATGAAAATATCATACATGAAAAATCTTAATTATTTATTGTGACAATGTCACAATAAATAATTAAGATTTTTCATTGCTTGGGTTTTAAACATATTTTAATTTAAAAATTAATCAAGACCTCCATTTACTAAGATTTCAATACCTGGTTTTCATTCTTGAGATTAATGAAAGATGTACAGATGGATGACAGTGGGAATTTATAGTCTGCAACTTGATAGTTGCAGCCCAAATGTATGTGAAGTACTGTACGTGGTAATTAATAACCATATACAGTTGATTCCACTTAATTGGGACATGATGGGACTAATCCATTTTGGCCCAATTAAGTAGCTACCCCAATTAAACAAATCAATAATAAATTCTAAAATAAAATATGTAATATGTAAGTAAATAAATAAGTAGGTAAAAAAAATAATAATTAGGTATCTATTTTAATGCTTTATTAAACCAAAATACAGAAAATATTTGTAATATAAATTCGCCAGACTCACGACAATAGATAAGTGATTTGCATAATGCTAGCGTTGCCAAATACAGTATTAGTAGTGACGTACACAAGGGTTAACCATTCGATTCGTTCCTGATCGAACAATTTCTCCTTTCTCCCTTTTTAGTTAGAATACGTTCTAACTAAAAAGGGAGAAAGAAAAGGGTTCGTCCAAAAGTTACCTTACGGTCTTCCTTTGAGCACAGTTTCCTTTACTTGAGATGGGCCACTTCGGTGGGAGAGTCCATAGAATCCACCAGCTCTGAATGCTGGTCTAAACGATTGAATGGCTGCTGTTCTAATCGAGACATAACTATGCACACAATACCTTCCAAGGAACTTTAGCTGTATTCTAACTCAGTCGAGAGACCTCAAAAAATTGTCCAGGGATCTTTGTCCCTTTACTTTTAAGGGGATCATCTGGTCCAATCCAGAGCAGGGTCATTAACTCAAATTCAGGACCACCTCAGACAGGATCCCCATGTGATACGTCCCACTATGCTGACCCCCTCCGGAAAAACCAAACTGCCCAAATGAAAGACAAAATCACTTTGTCTCTGCCAACCATTAGGCCTACACGATATTAGTGTACGTAATGTCTACATATTTTCAGAAGATCCCTAAAATATATCAAAAATTGCTACTGTCCCAATTAAGCAATTAAATTATGTATTAATTTATTAGTTTGGTTTCCATTCTTTGAGATTTGGCTCAATAAAGCAGCTGTCCCGATTGA